CCTGCTTCACCCGCACTTTGGTGTCATGGAGATGGCGTCTTTCCTTAACTCTCGTGAAACAACCTCTGCTAGTTTCCAACTTTTCTTCTGCAGCTTCCTCCCCTCTCTCAGCCTCCACAGAAAGGAAGAGAGTTAGTCAGACCCCGCTCTGGATGAGGCTTTGGCTTGAGGGAATTTTGTGATGGTTTGAGCTTCTGTCCAGACCACTAACTAAAACTCTCTCCATCTCAGCAATGTGGCTGTTTCACTTTCTTACCATTAGTGTGTTCACGGGAGGAGCACTTTTAATTTCCCTCAAGAACTTTTCCTTTGCCGTCACAACTTGGCTGTCTGGTGCAGGAGACTAGCTTCCTGCCTGTCTCAGCTCTCACCTGCCTCCCTCGCTGAGCTCAGTCACCTCTAGCTTTTGACTTACAGTGAGGGCTGTGTGACTCCTCCTTTCACCTGAGCACTTAGAAGCCATCGCAGGATTATCAGGTGGCCTGATGTCAATATCGTTGTGTCTCAGGGAAGAGGGAGGCCCAGGGAGAGGAAGAGAGACGGGAATGGCCAGGGGTGGCGCAGTCACAGCACACACAACATCTATCAGTTAACTCTGCCGTCTTACATGGGCACAGTTTGTGGGTCCCCAAAACAATTATGACAATAACATCAAAGATCACTGATCACAGATCACGTCACAAATACAATAATGATGGAAAAATTTAAGAGATTGCGAGAATTACCAAAATGTGACACAGAGACAGGAAGTGAGCAAATGCTTTTGAAAAAAATGGCACAAAATTAGACTTGCTGGACACAGAGTCACCATCAACCTTCAATTTGTAAAAAACACACAGTCTCTGTGAACACAGTAAAGCAAGGTCTGCCTCTGTATGTGTGTGTGTTCAAAAAAGTTGAGAAAACAAATTGGAACTGTTTCTTCTTTTTTTTCATCCTAACAAAGCCAGATTTGGGGTCATTTCCCCCCTCTGTTTTACTTCACTCTTTTCTAAACTTTTGCATTCAGATCAACATTGTAAAGTATATTACTAGTTCAAGTATTTGAAAAATTAGTCTCATATCTCTGGACCTAAAGCTGGTAAATGTAAATTACTGAGCTAATGAAGGATTATGTTTAAATAATCTGTTTATTTTCAAGATTTCCTTAGAATATTTGGCTTTCCTGTACTTAGAGATTATTTTTACTGACTATACTAGAATAATTGTTTTGAGCTGTGAGAAATAAAATTTCCCTGTGCGTGGCTTAGACTAATTGAAAGCAGAATGCGAATTTGAACTAGATATTTTTTAAAGCCCTTCTTAATAATTAATTCTCACTCTACTATTTATCCCAGCTTATAAGGAGTATAATTAATATTATGTAAGATTTTGCTGTCTTCCAGGCACCATTCTAGTCAGTTTATGTGTATTGTTTTGTCCTCAAAAAGCTAGAAAACACCTAGAAAAATGAATGCTAAAGCAGCAGAGGGAAAACAAAGAGTCAACCACATCTACATCCAGAGTCTCTCCAGACACAGGAACTGGCATCATGAAATACTTCAGAGGAGGTGACAGCATTAGCGACATTAGGGGCCACTGGGTGGAGTCTGTTTCTGAAGCAGGCCGGTCTTCCTCGCCCGTGCCTCTTTCTCCAGAAAAGCGTTGGCATGTGTCTTTGTGGGAGGGGATCTATGTTTTGAAGAGGATTGGAGACAGTTGTTGGACTGGGTGACAGACTTCCGGAGGGCTTCCCTCCTGGAAAGTAAGAGCCAAACAAACAAACAAACAAAAGTGACCCAGAGAAAACAGAACACATGCAAGGAGGAAACAGAACAAGCAAAAGTGCTGTAAAAATCTCAGAGCAGGAAAAGAATATATTGCAATTACGAAATGAGAACAGTCGCTTCAAGAAAAATTCAGGATATAGAAAATAGCTCTTGGAAATTAAAATGTGATTTAAAAAAAGAAAGAAGAAGAAAGAGCAAACGATGATGTGATGAGTAGGGAGATGAGATAAGGACATTAAAGGACAAGTCCCAGCGGTTCAGCAACTGAGTATGGGAGTGATGCTCAAATCAATCTGAAGGATGCAAAGTTCTAAACCAGAATCGCATACTCAGCCACACAACCAATTAAAGGTGAGGGAGTGTAAACGCATTTGTGGGCACACAGCTTCTCAGAAATTTGCCCCCAAGAGATTTTTCCTTATGAGAATTCTGGATGCTTGGTCCACCAAAATGAGCAAGGAGGCAGAGGGTACAGGGAATAGAAAATCCAGAGGAGAGAGGCAGCCAGTGTCCCCAGGAGGAAGGCTCATTGGAATTTTCAGGCTGGAATCTGTGCACCAGGCATCAAAGCACCCAGTCCAGATGGTAAAAGACTCCAGGAGACATTTCTTCAGGACGATAAGCTGATAGAATGCCTGATTCAACTGAAACAGCTGGCAAAGTACTGAGTGTTGAGTTAAAAAGTAGATAGGAGACTGTCAGATAATTATTAGCTCTAGGAAAAACAAGAGTGGAATGGGAATGGAAAATGAAAGTTTGCTTCATGTCTGAGTTGAGGATTGTTTTTACAACATCCTAATAAAGGAACACTGAGTATTACACTTACTAACGTAGTGGAATGTGTTGGGTGGGGAGATGCATATGGGCTGGAGAAAGAGCAGAATGAATGTGTTATTCTCACATGTCCTGGGGGGGAATCTACAGAAATGATTAAAAAAAATGAAAATCAAGAAAAGCGTAAACCAGGTGATTGACAGGCTGGAACTAATACAGAAGCAAATAACCAAAGGACAGTATTTGCCTCTGAAAAGGAAGGATTTGGGATGAAGGAGGTGGGGGAATTTTTTGTTGTTGTTAAATATCTTGCCGAATTATTTCACTGTTAATATGCATGTATAACTGAATAAAAATTCTTATTAAAAAGATGGACAAGAGAAAAAGAGAGTATTAGATTGTTTAGTCAGAAAGAAGAGTACATTTATTGGTCTGAATGAATTGCCTTATTTTTTCTGAAATGACTTTAGTTATAAATCAGCAGGCTGGCTTCTGAGCAGCTTTGGAAGAGCTTCTTACGTGGATGACATTGCTAAACATATCCTGACTATTAACATTCCAAAATGTTGATCTCAATGACCTTTAGATTTCTATGGTTATAATCTTAACTATAAACTCTCTTCTTTGTAGAATATGACTTTGGAAAATGTATACTTCAATAAGTGATTAGTCTACCAGTGAGGTATCGTATTTGAAAAAAAGAAAATATCGTACAATAAAGATGTCAGAGCTGCAGATCTCATTAATTCAGTTTTCTTTCCGTATTCTACCTAGGCGAAGGTGAAGTTTACCTTTGAATGCCTAAGAAGAAATGAATATTGTAAGCATCATTATAAGGATATCTTGGTCATTTTTTAAAAGAAACTGAAGATTGCAGTGTATTTTATTTAATTCTTTTTTATTAAATAAATATATGTTGAATTTATTCATGTAACAAATCTCACTAAGTATCTATTTTGTTCAGGCTTTCAGCTACATATTGGGACACAAAGCTCAAACTATATAGTTCCTGCTCTTAAGATGACACATAAGTAAGGAAATTGACATGCAATTGAGCAATTGTGATTAAAAGAAAACATGATCATTGCTCTACTGAAGAATTAGGCAAAATGCACTAGTAGCCCAGGAGTGTGAATATAAGCTTCACACAGGGAATTCCATGTGAGCCAAACCTGAAGGAGAAATGAAAGTTGGATCTATGAATTGAAGGAGAAAATTCCAGAAAGAAAAAGCAGCTTGGGCTGTGCTACAGATGTGGGTGAAGCATCACGTGTTCTGAGAACAGTCAGTAGCTCAGGATGTCTGGAGCCCTGAGCTGTGAGTCTGAAGAGAGAGGAAAGGAGGCTGTAGGTTTCACGATGTAGGTGGAGTCAACGAGACATGATTAATAGCAATGATAATTGACAGTAGTTAATGTTTCAAGTTATATCTCTGTGCCAGGCACTGAGCCAAGCACTTTACATACAAAATCGGATTTAATCCTTACAACTACTCTATTGTCATTTTTAAGTTTTTCAAGCTTGAGAGTAACACATCTACAATATAGCAAGAAACGAGGTTGGAAAGATTATAGTTAGTTCTACATAGCCAGTTTTAGTCTTTTTCTCCACTTTGAAAGTTTCCAAAATACCCATTTATCAATTTAAAAATGTGAACAGTGTGTATTTTTAGAGGAAGAAGGGAAAAGAGAGGGGAGAAAGAGAAGAGATTCCATGAAGAGAGAAGGAAAAAAAGGGAGGGAGAATAAGAGCGAGAGAGTGAGCTGGACCAACCCTGACTGAAAGGCGATGCTGGAAGATCGGAAGCAGAGGACAGAGCAGAGACTCCTTCAGCAGTCCAGGCAAAAGCCACTAAAGGCTGCACTTCAGGCAGACACCAACAGCAAATGGAAGAATAAGGGTGATATTTATAGAAGGAAATAGTCACCTGTTGGATGTGTAGATGATTATGCTCCTTAACCGAGAAAGGGAGATGTAAGGGATGGTGACGTTTGGGAGAGGAAGTGATTGGGAACACGGTTCCTAGAGCTCTGGTATTATGACCGGTTGGTTGTTTCTTGGACGAAATATGCCAAATACGCTAAAGCATAACTGATGCGTTGCATTAATTAACCCCATTCCTGTTAAAGAAAAAAAATGGTGGTTGAATGTCCTTGGTCACCAAGTTGATTCAGAACCTCAGGTTCTGATTTTAAAGTAATGAAATCTTTTACTGTGTATTCACCACAACCCAGAACTTTCATGGCGTGACCACCAAGAGTACAAAAAGAACACAGTGAGAAACCGAAAGTACTGGTCTGGGAGCACGATGGACTGTTTACCCAGATTGTATTGACTTGACTTCCCTTCACAAAACTGTGAGATTTTGTGGATCAGGTGTTAAAATGACAGCTGTACCCTCCGCGCCCCCCTGCAGGTCTTCCCTTCCTTCTAACCGTGCCCTTCCTTCCCCCGACAGGGCTCTACGAAACCTTTCTCACCAATGATGAACCAGAATGCTGTGACGTCAGGAGAGAAGCAAAATCAAACAACCCCTCCAAAGGGATGGTGGACAGAAGCGGCTCCTGCCCGCGGGCGCCGCTCACAGCCTCATCAGCCACAAGACTGTGCAGCAGCCACAGACTCAGACTGTGCGTTCTCGTGCTGATCCTCCTGCACACAGTCCTCACAGCCTCCGCGGCGCACAACGCCACGGCGCTGACCTTCGGCGGCATCAACACGCTGGACGAGAGCTCCGCCAGCGAGGACTAGGGAGCGCGGAGCACCCCGTTGCCCCGGTAACCGCGGAGCGCCCGCATCCCCGTTGCCCCGGTAACCGCGGAGCGCACGGTCGGATGTCAGACTCGGTGCTCTGACCCGCCCATCGCCGCGCGCGGGGCCTGGAGGGCAAAACTTAAAAAAGAGGGGCCTGAGTCCAAATAAGGACACAAACCCAGCTTTTTATTGACTAAAAGGCTGGAAAGTGACTTCAATTTCTCACACCATTTTATACACTGTGTTTTAATGTTTGGAGGTTTTATTTGCTTTTCCTTTTGATTTGGGTTTATCTGTTTGTTTAGTTTTTGCACTTGTTAATACAGGATTTATTTGGGGGGATGGTTTCTCAGAGGTAAACTAAGTCTTTTCACTGTCTCTCTCTCTCTATATATATATATTTCTAGTCATTGTGTGTGTTCATCAGATAGTTTCGTCTCTACGTCCTGTCAGTTTCTATTAGCGGAATGACGGCTATGACCTCACGGTATAGCAAAAAACAACAACAAAAATCAATAAAAAATAAAAAAAAAAAGACAAAAATAGAAAACAACAAAAAAATAAAAATAAAAAGCCTCCCTCACTCTCCCTCCTGCCTATGGAACCGACGCCTTTCCCGGCCTGCCCGGCCCGGGCCTCCCTCCCCAGCAGACGACATCCGCTTGCTTCTGTCGTTGTCGCCGCAGTGAGTGGGCACAGTGCACGCTCCGCTGGGCTTCTGAGCCGCTGTCGCACAAACCCGCAACGGAGCAAAACCGGGGAGGGGGCCCTTTCCAGCTGAACAAACACGTGCTCTCCATAACAGGTGGTCTCAGAAAGGGAACACATCTTTATGTTGAAAACAAAGGCAAAGAAAGCTACCATGAACTCTGTTGGTCCAGCTCCCCCTCCCAAGGGTCCAGTCCTTCCTCGCTGGTCGGGTGGCTGGGAGCAGCCACCCAGGAGGAGGATGTGAGGAGGTAGGAAGTCCTGTCCTGAAGCCCGCAGGTGGCTGGGCTCTTGGGATTCCAGTTCCGTTGCAAATAGACAGGAGCACGTTTTGGGCACTGTCACAGGAACAGGTTTCCAAGGACGCAAATTTGGACTTCTTTTTCCTCCTTTCCTGTTGTGGAGGAGAGAGCAGACGTGCTCCAACACCTGCAGCATACAGAGTCTAGACCATTTCTCCCCAGTATTTCCCCCACATCCAGTTTTTAATGCCTCCAGGTCTAAAGTGGATGCAAATGTGCATTATCAAAAAGAACTTCTTTTCCAAAACTAGGTTAGCCATTTTCATTCACGTGCAAAAACGTTGTCACTCTCCATGCTCTAGGTAGTTGAAGACAAGAAAAGTCTGATCGCTCTGTCTATATTTTTTCTTTTCGTGGGAACATTTCACCGCTGAGTCTCTATGAATTTGCTTTCTAAGAAAAAGGCTTTTATGAGTTTACAGTAGAATCAGTGGAAGGAAGAGTTAATAAGGGCTGTTTTTAAAACAAAACAAATAATTAAAAAAAAAAAAAACACTTTACATTCCTTCCTAGTCTCTAACTACGCTCGGGAAGCGCACTCCAGATCTGTTTGCTGTGTCACCGGGAGATGAAGGAAAACCATGGAAAAGGTCCTCTTAGCGAACAAAATTTAGTTATTAACTTTATAGCTATGAAATTCCCCGGGGCATTTGTTTTTGTTCAAACTTTAACCTCTGCATCATACTTAACTCTGCGACACGCGTACAGTATGCATATTTTGTTTTGAATAAAAAAAATGTTTTGTTCCAGTCTGTTAAGAATATTCAAAAATAATAAAGGTATTGCTTAATAAAATTGCTAGAATTGTTTAGCAGTACATGCACTGATATTTTACTAGATTCTTTGTTTTAATAGTGTTTTGTTGAGACTGAAAAATCCTAAAATGGTCTGCGCAAATACAAAAAAAAAAACACCAAAAATGTAAAATTTTCCAGTTTTTGTTCCTTTTTTGAAATATTGTTTTTTTCCTTCTGCAAATGCCAACACACAATCACACGTACACAGACACAGTATGTGTAATATATGGAAATTATGGTGCTATTTCTGGGGACTGTGGCTGGGGAGTGACTCCGGGGCATGTTAACCATGTTGAATTACAGCAACTGTTAAGTCTTTTTTCAGGCTAACTAGTGGTGGAATAGAGACTTCAGTGGAGTTGGGGGTGGGGAGAGAAGAATGGGGGAGCAGGGACTGGAGGTGAGGGGTGGGTGAGGACTCGGGGGAACAGCTTACCAGGTGAACTCTTTTTCGACTGACCCCTGAACGACGCTAAGACCAGAAAAAAGTTTGTTGTGAGCTTCGTCTGCCTCTGCTGGGCAGAGGCCACTCCCCTGTCTTTTCTCCCGCTGTTCCTTATGCTTCTGTTCATGCCAGAGGCGTTTCTGTGTCTTCAGGAAAACAACATCAACACGGATACAAGTTTCACCCGCTCTTGCTGGTGTGACAAGTGACTCTCCAGACACTGGGCAAAATGATGACCAAAGTACCCCTTAACAGCAGGGTTTCGTTTTCTCGTTATATCTTTTTGCGACAGGTTAAGGTTCTTTTCCAACAGAAAGGGACTGGGAGGTTCCACTTGTGCAAGATTTAGCTTTAGTTTGGGTAGAATGGCGACCACCGCGTCACAGGAGAGGCAAGCCTTCCAAAGGCAAGCTCAAGAGCCCGGCGGGAGAGGCAGGGCGGCACCAGCACCGCGCATTTGGGCGAGGCAGGCAGGTGGGGAGGGAAGGGGAGTGGCAGCTCACCCGGCGCTGGAATCGCCTGGAATTCTGCTAGCATTTTCTTCCTGCTGGGCAGATTGATTCTTACGTGGGAATGAGCTCTGTGCCTCGTACTTATTACTGCAAATGTGTAACCACGTCCCTGTGGTAGTTCCACTGACACAGTGGACTGAAGCTGGAGCCTGCAAAGTCAGGAAGCAACCACGGATGGTGCAGGTCTCGCTCCATCCGTTGGCCACTGGGAGTGGATTGCCTGCATGATGGCATGATTGCCGTTTCTGATAGAAAAAATTCCGACCCACATTTCTGTAATCATCATCCCACTCTGCTTTTCTTGTGGTGGATAGCTATTGCATACTAGATAATAAATTACAGTATTAAAACTATTATTTCTGAAAACTACTTGAAAACCAAGGAAATGATTTTTTTTTCACAAATGGATGAGACAGACTTCTCCATGTTTATTATCATCTTTTTTTAATTCTGCAATAGAGAAGTCCCAGGTTGAGGAGTATGTTAACACTGCAAGACCAAACGTCTAATGACAAAAGTGGAATCGTGTGTCGTTCCTTCCTGCACTGACACCGGGTGATGCATTACTCTGACTTTTCTTCCATTAAACAAGTAGTGCTTTTCTCTCCACAAAGAGTAAGTGAAAGCTGTTCTTTTAAATGGCATCACTACAAAAAAAGAAATTTAGTTCCTTACCAAGGAATTGGTACCATTAGGTACTAGAATCTGTGGTCATTAAAATAAAAGAAGGCAGGAAGGAAAAAACAAGAGGAGGAAGGAAGGAACGAAGGAAGGGAAATAAAACTGGATTTTTTTATATGAATGAATAAAAACCTCATTTTTGTCAGGAAAAAAATAAGTGAAAGATGTTTTGGGGTGTCAGATCCATGTGCCAAGTACCTGAATTGGCAGATGACACTTGGTATCTGGACAACATTAAAATATTGACCAGCCTGAGGCATTGTTTTAGTTCTTTCTAGGTAAGAGCGAAGTTTAAAGTGTTCTTGCTACTGGAAGCATCCAATCGGCAAAGCAATGAAAAGCGCATCTTATTTTCACTAGAACTGCAGACGGTATTTGACCCTGTTCGCATGCATATGGACATGGATATATAAGGAGAAAGTGTTACACATCTATGGTTTATTTTATAGTGATATATATCTTACAAGTAAAGTGTCAACCACAAAATTTTTCAGTCCAAAACAACACACACTATAATTAGCAATTCCGATTTTTTGCTGAAGGTTAAGCAGCATGCTCATTTAAAAACCATACCTGCCTTGATGCAGAAAAGACTCTCAAACTGTCTCCATTAATGAAAGAATAGCAATTTTGAAGTAGCCAGAATCTTTTCCACTTTCCAAGCACTATCATGTTTAGAAAAAATTGAATATGGCAAGCAGATAGTGGGTGATGGCGAGCAAATCTGTAAGTGAGAGAAAGGGAAGAAACTGAGTGCAGCTTCAAGCAGTATCTCCATGACACATATGAGAATGATCAAACTGCTTCAAACTCTAGAAATTCTCCAGATAATGATCAAAAGTATAGATAATCCTCTCAGCCTTGCAATAAAACTTAAGACTCGAAGCAAATCTGTTCTTGGCTCTCAAGATAATTCAGGGCTAAGTTTACCTGGCACAAAACGTTCAGATCAACATTAAACATGATGTCACATGGCTATTTTCTCCAAGGCCACACAGGTGGATTGTGCCAAAGTGGAACTCAAACCACACCCGACTGCAACTTCTAAACACTGGCTCTGGAACACACGATCCCTGGGTCTCAAGCGTACTTCATGAGGATAATGTATTTTTTTCCAAAATGCTTTATTTCTTAAATGGTGAATTTTAAAATTATGTTAAGTATTAAAAATAGTAAAAATATAGAAAAGACACTGCTAAGGTTTGTTGATGCCCTGTTTCTTTCTCGATTACTCATTTTAAGTGAATTTGCTTTTTCTCCCGCCATCATTATGATGCTGACCCAACTGGTCCCTCTCAAAATAGACTTGGCTGAACTTCTTTTTGAATACATGTATATTAGGTTGGATCATTTTGTTGATTGAGTCTCAAAAAAATAATAATCCAGTTAACTGTAAAGGTTTCAGTACTATACGTCTTTCTTTCTTTTGTGTCTTATATTTTATTTTTTATTCTTGGCTATTTCTATATATAGTGTGAAAAAAATGGAGCAACACAGTTAAGGTAATAATTTCTGGGGCTTTTATCAATCTGTCAAGAAGACCAGTGGACCACTGCTACAGACAGGAGACAATTTATGTGACTGGAATTGGCTCTGCCGCCATCCTGGCTCGACACCCACCTTCATGACCGCCCTGGACAAGCCACGTGATGACTCGGTGACGCGATCCCGGCTGCTGCTAAGGCCCTTGCCGAGGATTTCACTATTCTGAAACACTAGAAATATTACTTCTATTTTTTTCCTTCTCCTTAATTTGAAAGGCATGTAAACATTACCAGTAAAGGAAATTTAATAGAAACAAAGTTCTTTTCAAAGCTTTCAAATAGTGATTATATTTTGACGAAAATCTTAGTGAAATGTTTCCTGCAGCGCTACACAAAAGTCAAAATGAGCGAAAGCGTTTTGGTTTAATGCAGTTTTCTTTTTCTGAGATATGGTAACAGTGAAATAAGGTTTTGAATATGCAAAATACCCAGCGTGAGGAACAAACACATAAAACATATGTAGAATGTTCTCAGGTATTTTTACTATAATTAGAGTCTAAAATGTGGTAGTTTTCGGTTCCATTGTCCTTTCCCCTTAAGACAACACACCTTTTGATTTAATTCATGTGGTTTTTTGAAATGGAGCTTTTCAAATTTCACATGGAATTTTGAAGAATCATACTTATGTTCAGTTTTGAAGTTAAAATCTCTCTACTCATCTGTTAGACCCAAGATGTAGCAAACAAAGTACTCATGTTGCTGCAAATAGATGTAACTACCTGCATTTGTCCTGATTGCTCTCCCTTTCTTCCTCCTTCCTAGTCTCTCTTCCCCCTCACCCCTCTCTTTCTCTGCATCCCCCACACCCTGTCTCTGTTGTCCTTCTGTCTGTCTGTCTCTTTGCTTTTTTCTCTCTCTCTCAACTTCAGGATTTTAAAATAAGCTTTATTAGTATCAGGGTTTTTGTTGTTAAATCATGTAGCCTGTCCTATGATTCTTAAACTTGAAAAGAGAAATCATCTCATCAGAAAAAAAATATTAAAAATGTGAACTACATTGCATATTGCATTATTTGAGCAATCAAGACCCTTTCGATTTCTAGTGGAACATCTGAAGCACTAATTTATTACAATGACCCACAAAGAAATATTCTTTTCAGAATGATCTAGGGAAGTTGCCAGAGAATGTGAAAAGTACTAATGTGCTCTTAGAAGAATACATTCAAAAAATGCAAACAATGACTGACTCTTTTGAGGTTAGAGGATTTATATATATTGTAATAAAATGTATTACAAAATGTGATTTTGGGAAAAAATTCACGTGCTTCAACTGAAATGAAAATTTAACCTCCACAGAAATCCAATTTTATTGCACATATTTTTAAAAACAATTCTTGAGAAATTTTCACTTTTATATTTTTATGGAGAACTAGCATCTTATTAAGAGTCTAGGCCTCTTTGCCAACCAGGCACAACTCCCCACGGCCTCTGATTTTACACTGATCTGAATACTAATGGTGCACCACTGCTTTAAACATTCAAGTGTATTTTGCAAGATCTAAGGCTACAGAAAATACCTTAAGCAAGTCCTTATTTAAGAATAATCTGTCAACGGCCGTACCACCCTGAACGCACCTGCTCTCGGAATAATAATCTATCTTGAATTTTATGCCCCTGTGCAGTGACAAGTAACAGCTAAATCCTGCAAAATATGTATTTCGAGTATCAAATCAGCCTGTGATTTCATTCATAGAAACAGATAAACACCTGCTTTCTTCCTTCCTTTCCCAGTGAACTTGGCCAATCTATCTTCTGTTTCTCCCTCAAGCTCTTCTCAAAGGTGAGTGTAAAGTGAACATTTATTTTTTTTTGACATTGAAGGAAAAGTGATGAAGTTTGGGCATCATGTTATTTGCATCCCTGTCACAAAGTCCCTGGTAGGCACATAGTGTGGAAGGCAGCACTCGCCCTCCCCCAGCATGTTCCTCACTCCCCTC